CAACCAATTGCTCGCCATTAATAAGGGCGAAAAGGACTGAAGTCCTATAACAACAGGTACTAAAGGACCTTCAATCAAATTAGTGAATGTCCCACCAACCTAGCTATCGCATAGTACAAGCAAGGATTACCTGTGGGGCATAGATTGAGAGATTCCATGATAATAACCCACCCTTTACCATGGAAGCCTTAATGGAGAGAGTCCACAAACACATAAGGGTGGAGGAGGATGGGGCCTGAGCCAAGGTAAAGTCCAGCATGACAGTGATGTCGAGCAAAAAGACTTCGGCCAAGGTAAACACAGTTGGAAAGAAAAGCCGGTCGAACAACAATAATCGTATCGGCCCACCGAACGATGAGAATGCCAAAGCAAGGAGATTGAAGGTTCGCATTGCCATCACAACAATTTTTAAGAAACCTATTTACCAAATACTTAGCAAAATATGTGATGAGCCTTTTGTTCGATGGCTTGCCAAATTGGGAGAAGCGTAGAGGGGCTATAATGAGAGATATCAGTGCACCTTCCACGATGAAGTTAGGCACTGAACTGAAGATTGCACGCTGTTGAAGCATCACTTTGAAGAATTGGTGGCGGCAAGCCATTTGGATCAATACATTAAAGGAGGAGTATGACTAGTCCCTTAGGATTGCAATGTGCCAGACAGAATGTCAGTAGACTATAACAACCCCGTCCCATAATTAACTATTAATCCATAGTTAAGAATGTCTAATAAGTAATGAAAATGACATTATGAGATAATTGCGCATGTTATGTGTTATTTGTTTTTCGATCTATTTATTGTAGGAATATCTGTCTGAAATTCTGCTTTGATTTGGAAATTGAAGGCCTTATCGACATCCGAAATCGAAACCGATTATATTACTATGTTATTTGAAATTTTTAGAACACTTTGGTAAGTTTAATTAAAAATTGATTTGGATCAAATTAATTAGATTAAATTGATTTAATTTAAGAGATGTTGATTAACCCTAATAAAGTTTAATTAGTCTAATCTAATCTCATCCATAAATATGAGTTATACACTTAGTAATGACTTCGTTCTCTTCTTTTTGTTGAGTTTTAGAGAGAGAGAGTGAGGTAGAATTCAACTCTAGAGAGAGAGAAAAGGAAAACTTGTAGAATTGGATGCAAGACTTGAAGATTTGGAAGATAGGCACGAGAATTTGCTAGATTTAGCTTCATTGAAGATCATAGGAGAGAGTTTGAACTTAAATTTGTGAATTCAAGTTATCTAGCATGAGATTTGATGAAGATTATGAGTTTAAATACATAAAATGAGCTCAGAATGAAAAGAATGGTGCTAAGTCATGCATTCATGCACGAATGTCCCATTTTCATCAATGATTCAACATTAATTTCATTTCTCTATGCTAAACATGCATCTAGGTTTATTTTGAATAAAACCCCAACTTTTGTAAAATTACACAAAAGCCCCAAACTTTCACAAAATTACCAAACCAACCCCAACGTATCAAAATACTAAAATTTAAAGACAAAATCCATAGAGAGGAGTAGGGTATCCCTACCTTGAAGTTTTAGCCAAAAAGGAGATGAAGACTCGAAGATCAACGTGCTCCAAATCCAAACTTTTTCAGATTAAATCGAAGCTCTCAACACCCTCTATCTTTTTAACAAAGGCCCTAGGCTAGATTCACACCCTAGGGAGATCAAATCTTAGAGAGAATGTAAGTTTAGAGAGAGAGAGGCTCGGATTTAGGTTTTGGATCAAAAAGAAAGTGAAAAAGTGATGTTTAAAATCGCTACTGTCCGCTGATATAAAACACGCTCGCTCGAGCGAAGCCTTCGTCGCTCGAGCGACCAAACACAGAAACTCTCGCTCGAGCCAAGAAGTTCTTGATTGAGCGAAGAAAAACCCAGACCGCTCGAGCGAAGGAAGCTCGCTCGAGCCAAGAAAGGCAACTCTCAGGTCCAGAACCAGGTGCAACCGCTCGCTCGAGCGAGCCACTCTGGCTCGACCCACCAGACACGAACCCACTCTCGCTCGAGCGACCAACTCCTCGCTCGAGCGAAGGTCCAAAATTCTGGGCAGCAACACTAGGCTCCCGAACACAACCAACCTGTAACAAACCTGCCTAACACATCCCATAACTCAAATATGAATAAAAGGAATGTAAACACGATAATAACCAACTACCAACATCCACGGACACATGTCCGGATCACTGTACAACAAGGGTAAACCCGGGATCGCTATAGGCAACAATCCTGAAGAAGTTTCAGTTTATAGCTCTGAAGAAGATTCTGAAGAAAGTTCAGATGGAAATGAAGATCCAGAGGCCCCACAACAGTCAGAACCCATTGCAATCAGAAAAGAAAAAAAAGTTATTAAGAAACTCCGTTGGATGATCGATATGGTGGCTTATGCACTTCCAATCATTAAAGACAATGTTCCTTGCACTTTCAAAGAAGCCGTGCAGAATGCAGAAAGTGTCAAATGGAAGGAGGCTATGGATGAAGAGATCGGGTTACTCCATAAGAACTAGACTTGGGAGTTGGTGTAACTTCCAAAGGGTAAGAAAGCAATTGGGTGTAAGTGGGTTTACACCAAGAAGGAAGGCATCCCAGGCAAAGACAACATCAGATTCAAAGCTAGATTGGTAGCTAAAGGCTATGCCCGGAAGGAAGGAATAGACTATAATAAGGTATTCTCACATGTTGTAAGGCACACGTCTATTCATATCTTGCTAGCTTTGGTTGCACAGTGTGATCTCGAGCTCGCCCAACTCGATGTCAAAATTGCCTTTTTATATGGAGATCTTGAAGAGGAGATATACATGTCCCAGCCAGATGGATTCAAAGTTGCTAGAAAAGAGGATTGGGTTTGCAAATTAAAGAAATCGTTGTACGGGTTGAAGCAGTCTCCAAGACAGTGGTACAAGCGATTTGATCGGTTCATGACAGAAAAGAAATACACAAGAAGCCAGTATGATCATTGTGTATATTCCGTAAGCTTTCTGATGGTTCCTTTATCTATTTGCTCTCATATGTTGATGATATGCTAATTGCATCTAAGAGCAAGGTGGAGATTGATAAACTCAAGGCACAGTTGGCAGGAGAGTTCGAAATGAAGGATCTTGGCAAAGCAAAGAAAATTCTTGGCATGGAGATCAAAAGAGACAGGAAGAAGGGCACGGTTTGTCTGACGCCAGTATCTGAAAAAGGTGTTAGGCATATTTGGCATAAATGAAAAAACAAAAGCTGTGAGTACACCATTGGCTCAGATTTGTTTGTCAACGATGGCTGCTGATTGAAGAAAAAATGAAGAAGCTAGACATGGTAGGGTGGCTAATCTTATTGGCGGTTGATGGTTGATGGTTGCCATGAATGTTGTCGGTGGCTTGTTAAAGACTTTGGCCCTCCCATTTCATTTATAAATGGTTAGTGAATGGGAGGGGTTCAGTGTGGTGAGTTGAAGAGAAAATACAGAGCAGAAAGATAGAATTATAGTGTGTAATTCTTTGTCCCAAATATAGTGAAATTCACTGCTCGTGGACGTAGGCGACTTGCCGAACCACGTAATTCTTTGTGTGTTCTTGCTTGTGTGCTTATGTGTGATTGTTTTCTGCCATCTAGGCACAACATAAGATTCATTAAATCAATGTAATTTTAACACATGAGAATGTAAACACAATTTAATAAATAAATATGATCATTTTAATACTATTGTTAGTCTATTATTGGATTGTCAACTTCTTGCCTCTATGTTACTGAATGAACCTCAAAGTAAAGGGTTGCTTTGTGTATTTTGTTTTTAGATATTGAATACATTTGAAAAGTTCACTAACCACATAAGAAGATCTGCTTGTTGTATGCCATTGTTCTTATGGAATGTAGGCATATTTTTGCTTACAACTTTGTGTAACAAGATTACTGATTCCTAACAAGATTACTTACAATTTTGTCTGTCGACTTTGTGTAAATGCTACAAATTCTAGTTTTTTTTTTAATTCTTTTATGTCACTCAATAGTAAATAAATTCATAACGTGGACAAAGAAATTTAAAGCTTTTAATTGGCATGGTTGTAAATAATTGTTCATTCAGTTACTTCACTATAATAATTCTAGGAATATTTATCAATAAATCCCATCTCACAAACTGTTAAACCAATCAGTCCCAACTTTATTCTTTTGTTCCGGCAAGTCCTACTAGTGGGGAGGTTTGTTTCTTTCTGATCCTATTTTCCATATTTGGCGTCATTGTGTGGACGGTTGTACCCTTTTTTGTTATGTTTTGATCTTGTGTTGCAGGATCACGTCATTCTGTGGATTTTGTGGGTGTTATAGTTTGTAATTTTAATGTTATGTGTATAAACGTTTCAGCCTTTTGGACTTAGGGTTTTTAGTGGTGTGAGTGGGTGATTTAGTGACGGCTGTGTGACGGACTGATACAGAGAGTATAACCAAAGTCGGTACGCCGTTGATTCAAAGGTTTGTCTTCTTGTTTGGATAGCATTTACGTTTTATATCGTTTTGGGTTTTGTATGTATTGGTGGAAGGGGCTACTATACAATCCGTGTGGTGGGGGGTTATATGGTGCATTTTTTGGGGTTATTTTTTGTGTTACAAAGGTATGTTCTCTTATTTGTATATTTTCTGCTGTGGGTGTGTGTTGCATTATGTATTGGTGTAAGGGAGTTCTTTACAACGGGTAGGGTGGCGGGTTATGTGGGGCATTTTTTGGGGTTGTTTTCTGCACTGTGTGTGGGGATGTGGATGTAGAAATCAGGTTGTGTTTTAATGGGTATGGGTTTTCAAGATGTGGGTTACGTGGCAATCAAAAACCACATCAGTCTTCTACAAAAACCCTTAGTGAACATTTTGGGTGTGTGACAATCAATTGTGTGGCACGTGACCCACCACATGCCGTTTTACCTCATCTGTGCCATACGCGCATACGAATGTACAACAAACATTACACAATAACTGATGGCTATTGCGTCCTTTGACAACAGATTGGACTAAACGGAGCACTAGAAAACATATGGGACTAATAAGATTATAAGATCAACATTTAGGGTTTATTGGTAAATTTCCCATAATTCTATTAACATATACTCAAAATATTTATTGTATTATTCTGAACTAACAGCGAGTCTACCCCCAAGAGCTGAAACACCTACTCACATATACTCATTGTATTTATTGTCACTACAAGAAAAAGCACCTCTGGCGATTAAATTTTTAGTCGCCAAAAGTCCGTTTTTAGTTGCCAAAAGTCGACTTTTTACTTTTCCCGACTAAGTTTTTTAGTCGCTGGTTTTGTCGCGTATAGATGGTCGACAGAGGTATTGGCGACTAAAACGTTTTTAGTCGCCAAAAAGCAGCTCTTTCGCGACCAACATTTTAGTCGCCAATAGTGATTTACACTTTTCAAAATCATATGTTATTTGTATATTTTCTGCTGTGGGTGTGTGTTGCATTATGTATTAGTGCAAGGGAGTTCTTTACAACGGGTAGGGTGGGGGATTATATGGGGCATTTTTTGGGGTTGTTTTCTGCACTGTGTGTGGGGATGTGGATGTAGAAATCAGGTTGTGTTTTAATGGGTATGGGTTTTCAAGATGTGGGTTACGTGGCAATCAAAAACCACATCAGTCTTCTACAAAAACCCTTAGTGAACATTTTGGGTGTGTGACAATCAATTGTGTGGCACGTGACCCACCACATGCCGTTTTACCTCATCTGTGCCATACGCGCATACGAATGTACAACAAACATTACACAATAACTGATGGCTATTGCGTCCTTTGACAACAGATTGGACTAAACGGAGCACTAGAAAACATATGGGACTAATTGGATTATAAGATCAACATTTAGGGTTTATTGGTAAATTTCCCATAATTCTATTAACATATACTCAAAATATTTATTGTATTATTCTGAACTAACAGCGAGTCTACCCCCAAGAGTTGAAACACTTACTCACATATACTCATTGTATTTATTGTCACTATAAGAAAAAGCACCTTTGGTGACTAAATTTTTAGTCGCCAAAAGTCCGTTTTTAGTCGCCAAAAGTCGACTTTTTACTTTCCCCGACTAATTTTTTTAGTCGTTGGCTTTGTCGCGTGTAGATGGTCGGCAGAGGTATTGGCGACTAAAACTTTTTTAGTCGCCAAAAAGTAGCTCTTTCGCGACCAACATTTTAGTCGCCAATAGTGATTTACACTTTTCAAAATCATACATTTAGCGACTAATCCTTTAGTCGCCAATACTCACAAGATCACATGAATATATATGCAATATATATTATTTATATAGTATATTGACCCGTATTAATTTAAAACTATATATATATATAAATATAATTATTTTTATTCAAATATTAATTTATGCAAAAAATAAATTAATTATTAAAAAAAAGGGAGCCACTTTTGGTGACTAAGGTTTTTTTTAGTCGCCAAAAACCTTAGTTTTGGCTACTACCAATAATTTAGTCGCTAAAAAAATTAATTTCCGTCTAAAAATAACCACTTTCGGCGACTAAACTGATTTTTAGTCGCCAAAACCGCCACTTTTGCCGACTAAACTCAATTTTAGTCGCCAATTGTCGACTTTTAGCCACTAAAAATTTTTTAGTAGCAAAAAACCTTTACATTTGGCTACAACATTTTTTTTGTCGGTAAAACACCTACAATCGGCGACCCAACCATTTTTTAGTCGCCAAAGCCAATACTTTTGGCTACTAATCTTTTTTGGTCGCCAAAAACCTTCACCTTTGGCTACTAAAATTGTTTTAGTCCCTAAAACCCACGTAATCAGCGACTAATCTGATTTTTAGTCGCCAATAAGTACACATTTGGCTACTAAACTATTTTAGTCGCCAAAAGTCTTCACTTTTGGCTACTAATTCAATTTTAGTCGCCAATTGTCCTATTTTCAGCGACGAAATTTACATTTTTGATCGCCAAAACTGCTTTTTGTTGTAGTGTGTATTAACATATTTATTGTATTTATTCTATTAACATTTTATTTTATTTATTGTATTTATTTTATTAACATATTCTCACATATATGTCTTTAAAGAAATCCTTCACCAACCCCAAAAAATTTGAAAAACAAAAAATTAAATTAAATTAAAACATATCACAAAGGGAATCAAAGTGAACTGAAGAAGAGGTACTAGTTAGGTAAACTTGGGTCCATTAAATTTTATTTAGGACGTTGATTTTAAAATCTGTATAATTTATTTTATAAAAAGGTTTTGCTAGGTTAAGAATATAATATGGATTTATGACGAATTTATGACACGATGTGCCGGTTATTTCTCCTCTTATATTTTTATTTCTCCTTTTATATATCTCAAAACATATTTTATCAATTAATCTTAACCAACCCTCGTTGGCTAGCATTCACCTTTATAAAAATACCAAAAACTCCTCCAAACTGGGGAGAGACTGCACCTTTTTGATTCTTTACTTCCTTGCCATTAATCGCAAAGGAATATTTGTACATTTGATGGGCTAATGATCAATGTTTCTGTGATTTTTTTAAAAATGTAATCTGATTTCATTTACACCAATAATATTCTTCTCTTTATAAGAGTAATAATAATATAGAATGCACATAATAAATACATATAAATGGCTTCGTAGTTTGAAAAGGTTGCTCCACTAGTTGAGCAACTCCAACAATACTATATTTTGCTTAGTAGAAATACATTAAAAAAAAGAAAGAAAAGAAATACGTTCTGTATCTTGTCCAATCATTTTATTCTAACAAGAATTTACTTAACGATATAAACCAAATAGGCTAATTTTTAAAAGAAAATTGCTATAAAAAATAATATTTATGGCATAGTTGTAACGCCCTCAAAATAATAACATTAAACCCAACAAATAAGACATGCATTAAGTTGTAACGCCCTCAAAATAATAACATTAAACCTAACAAATAAGACATGCATTGATATTCAAAAGTTCCACATTCTTACATTTATCAAAACTTCATTACAAAAAGTATTACATGTTAACAACAAAAGCAAATGCCCTACAGGCTTACAGCTTTCCAAGTTAACACTTGGTTACAACAAAAGAGTACTAACTCATACACATTAAGCCCTTGGCTTGTATTTACATGTAATACATCAAAAAGTAGAACGACAACATTATGTCCGCCTCTAGCCTCCTAAGCTATGTCCTTGGAGGTGGCATGCTTCCTGCACCTGAAAATGATATTCCCATATAGGGTGAGCCACAACCCAGTAGAAATATACTAAACCAACCATGAACAATGACTAAAAGATTAGCAATTGATAGATGGCCAACACTGATACAATCACATAAATCACATATTTATGTCAAACGACTTACAAGTCCAAATTACTTTTCATTTCCCCTTTTTCAACAGATAGGCATATAAGCACTACCCACATGCTCAACAGATATGCATAACAACAATATCCACAGATAAGCATATAAGCTATATCCACACTTCACAAAGATAATAATATGAGCTCTATCTTCACTTCTCTAGACAAGCATATGAGCTGTATCTACGGAGTTCATCCCCTATCTTCTCCCAACACTATCCGGTTTAGAGGTACATCCCCTACCTTCCCCTAAACCGCGGACATCCCCTATCTCCTCCTCTACACATAATGTATATAAACACATTGGTTCTATATACAATCACCCAATACATACAGTTAATGTATTCTATCAACTGTCAAGTTCCATGACACATTTCATTGATTAGTTTCAGTTTGCCTAATCATCATGCATTGTCTACAACAATCACGACTATCCTCCACCGATAGCCCAAAGCAGTTACTTCTAAACAGAAAATAAATGCACAATGGATATTCAATCAACATTTCACTTCCTCATTCCATACAATTAATTATCCCAATTAATTAAACAATGTAATTAGGTTAATTCCCATAATTAACATGTCAACCCTTAGGTCCCATTTTCATCAATGACTTAACATTTATTCCATTTCTCTATTCCAAACATGCATTTAGGTTTATTATGAATAAAACCCCAACTTTTGTAAAATTACACAAAAGCCCCAAACTTTCACAAAATTACCAAACCAACCCCAACATCTCAAAATACCAAAATTTAAAGACAAAATCCATAGAGAGGAGTAGGATATCCCTACCTCGAAGTTTGAGCCAAAAAGGAGATGAAGACTCGAAGATCAACGTGTTCCAAATCCCAACTTTTTCAGATTAAATCACAGCTCTCAACGCCCTCTATCTTTTTAACAAAAGCCCTAGGGTAGATTCACACTCTAGGGAGATCAATTCTTAGAGAGAATGTAAGTTTAGAGAGAGAGAGTCTCGGATCTACGGTTTAGAAGAAAAAAAAGTGAAAAAGTGATGTTTCAAAACGCTACTGTCCGCTGATATAAAACACGCTCGCTCGAGCGAAGACTTGGTCGCTCGAGCGACCAGACACAGAAAACTCTCGCTCGAGCCAAGAAGTTCTCGCTTGAGCCAAAAACTCAAAAGTGCGCTCGAGCGAAAGAATGCTCGCTCGAGCCAACAACTCAAACCCTCAGGTCTGCAACCAGAAGCACGCTCGAGCGACAAACCTCTCGCTCGAGCGAAGAACAAACTAGACCGCTCGAGCCAAGAAATACAACTCTCAAGTCCAGAACCAGACGCCATCGCTCGCTCGAGCGAAGCCACTCTGGCTCGACCCACCAGGCACGAACTCAACTCTCGCTCGAGCGACCAACTCCTCGCTCGAGCGAAGGTCCAAAAATCTGGGCAGCAACACTAGGCTCCCAAACACAACCAACCGGAAACAAACCTGCCCAACACATCCTATAACTCAATAAGAAGTAAAAAGGATGCAAACAAGAAAATAAACAACTACCAACATCCACGGACACATGTCCGGATCACTGTACAACAAGGGTAAACCCCGGATCGCTATACTTCACGCCGGCGTTGCCAACCCCACATCGACCCCAACTCTATCACTTCTCGCCGGATCTGCTGCCTCCACACACCGAC